GAGAGGGAGAGGATAGAGATTTGGGGGAGTCAGGGGATGGAGTGAGTGTGAGCGGGAGAGGGATAGAGACTTGGGGGGAGTCAGGGGATGGAGTGAGTGTGAGAGGGAGAGGGATAGAGACTTGGGGGAGTCAGGGGATGGAGTGAGTGTGAGAGGGAGAGGGATAGAGACTTGGGGGGAGTCAGGGGATGGAGAGAGTGTGAGAGGGAGAGGGATAGAGACTTGGGGGAATGTGTTTGATAATCTCTCTCCTGTCTTGTAGCCCGAGGAACAATATGATCAAGTCGCTGCTATAGACACAACACAACAACTGTCTACGCCACCGTCAGTGCACCGGGAGCAAACCTTCGTAACTTATAAACTTCCCCTGACTCCCCCCAACTCTCTATCCCTCTCCCTCTCACACTCACTCCATCCCCTGACTCCCCCCATCTCTATCCCTCTCCCTCTCACACTCACTCCATCCCCTGACTCCCCCCAACTCTCTATCCCTCTCCCTCTCACACTCACTCCATCCCCTGACTCCCCCAACTCTCTATCCTCTCCCTCTCACACTCACTCCATCCCCTGACTCCCCCAAGTCTCTATCCCTCTCCTCTCACACTCACTCCATCCCTGACTCCCCCCAAGTCTCTCTCCCTCTCCCTCTCACACTCACTCCATCCCCTGATCCCCTCGAGTCTCTCTCCCTCTCCCTCTCACACTCACTCCATCCCCTGACTCCCCCACAGTCTCTATCCCTCTCCCTCTCACACTCACTCCATCCCCTGACTCCCCCAAGTCTCTATCCCTCTCCCTCTCACACTCACTCCATCCCCTGACTCCCCCCAAGTCTCTATCCTCTCCCTCTCACACTCACTCCATCCCCTGACTCCCCCCAAGTCTCTATCCCTCTCCTCTCACACTCACTCCATCCCCTGACTCCCCCCAAGTCTCTATCCTCTCCCTCTCACACTCACTCCATCCCGACTCCCCCCAAGTCTCTATCCCTCTCCCTCTCACACTCACTCCATCCCCTGACTCCCCCAAGTCTCTATCCCTCTCCCTCTCACACTCACTCCATCCCCTGACTTCCATCCGGAGTCTCTATCCCTCTCCCTCTCACACTCACTCCATCCCCTGACCCCCCAAGTCTCTATTCCTCTCCCTCTCACACTCACTCCATCCCCTCACTCCCCCCAAATCTCTATCCCTCTCCCTCTCACACTCACTCCATCCCCTCACTCCCCCCCAAGTCTCTATCCTTCTGCCCCCGTTTGTACAGTGAGTAACATTTACAACCCTCCAGTCTCTGGCACCACCTGGTGTTCAAGGAGGATTGAGAGATGGTCAGAGCCCCTGTTATTTCCACCCTGAGTTCCCTCAGCGATCTGGGATGGATCCTGTCCGGACCGGGTGACATACCCACCTTAAGCATTTTTATTCCCTCCTCTCGGTTTATTCTTATCCGATCCAATGTCTCTCCCCCAATAGTGTGGCTTTGGCAAAAACAGATGTAAAGTACGTCAGCCAAGTCCTCTGCCCCCACAAGAGGATTTCCTCTTTGGTCCCTAATTGATCTTTGACTAACGTTTTATGGCTTATATGTTTATAAATTACCTTACGGTTCCCTTTTATGTTCTCCGCTGATCTTTCCTCATACAATCTCTTTGCTCCTCATTTCTTTTCTCAGTTTTCTGTACTTTCTATCTGATTATCCTCTGTGTTTTGGACCTGACAACCTCCTATTTCTGTTTGATTTTAATCCCAATTTCCTTGTTCAACCCCGGCAGGTTTGGATGTCCTGCTTTCCTGTTTGTTGGAATATATTTGCTCTGTGTCCGAACTATCTCCTCCCTGAAGGCTTCTCATTGCTCGGTAGCTGTTTACCTGCCAATCTCTCTTCCCACCTTAGCTCAGTCCCTGTTTAACACTGAAATTAGCCGCTTCTGGTTGACTATCTTCCACTGTTCCTATTCCTTTTCCATCCGGACTCAAAACCTAATGGTGTTTATTAATGAGAGTCTGTCAGGGTCAATACCTATAGATACTCACTGCAGCTCACCAAGACATCCAGGAACCTGGGCCTCAAGTGTCCTTCCTCCCCCATATCCATACCATGACCCGCTCTGCCTTCCCCCACCTCCACAACTTCGCCTGCCTCACCCCTCAGGCCACTGCCTCACCCCTCAGGCCACTGCCTCACCCCCTCAGGCCACTGCCTCACCCCTCAGGCCACTGCCTCACCCCTCAGGCCACTGCCTCACCCCTCAGGCCCCCGAAGCCCTCATCTACGCATTCATCACCTCAAGCTTCAACTATGCCAACTCCCTGCATGTCGGCCCCAACTCCTCCCTCCACGGGCTGCAGGTCATCCAGAACCAACTCTGCAGCCCATGTCCTCACCCCCACCCCATCACCCCCATCCTCACCCCATCCTCGCCCCACCAGGCTCTCTAACTCCATCACCCCATCCCCCCCCACCAGGCTCCCCGACCCATCACCCCCATCCTCACCCCCATCCTCGCCCCCACCAGGCTCTCTAACTCCATCACCCCCATCCCCCCCCCACCAGGCTCCCCGACCCCATCACCCACATCCTCACCCTGACCAGGCTCCTCGACCCCATCACCCCAACCTGCCCCCCCCCCCACCTGTTTAGGGCCTGATCCCTGACTCTCCAGTGACTGGGGACATCCTCCTGATGAGAAAGTCACTTTACGCACGTCATTTTGTTGTTAGTGTTGATGTTGTTGTTGATGTTGTTGATGTTATTGTTGATGTTGTTGGTGTTGATGTTGTTGGTGTTGGTGTTGATGTTGATGTTGATGTTGTTGTTGATGTTGATGTTGTTGATGTTGATGTTGGTATTGATATTGTTGATGTTGATGTTGTTGTTGGTATTGGTATTGGTGTTGATGTTGTTGATGTTGTTGTTGATGTTGGTATTGATGTTGTTGATGCTGATGTTGTTGTTGTTGGTGTTGGTGTTGATATTGTTGATGTTGTTCTTGTTGTTGATGATGTTGATGTTGTTGTTGTTGATGCTGTTTTGATGTTGTTGATGTTGATGTTGTTGTTGTTGGTGTTGTTGTTGGTGGTGGTGTTGATGTTGTTGTTGTTGTTGGTGGTGGTGGTGTTGATGTTGTTGGTGTTGTTGTTGTTGGTGTTGATGTTGTGGTGTTGTTGTTGTTGGTGTTGATGTTGTGGTGTTGCTGTTGGTGGTGTTGATGTTGGTGGTGTTGATGTTGTTGGTGTTGCTGTTGATGTTGTTGGTGTTGATGTTGTTGTTGATGTTGTTGTTGGTGGTGTTGATGTTGTTGGTGTTGGTGTTGATGTTGGTGTTGATGTTGGTGGTGTTGATGTTGTTGTTGATGTTGTTGTTGCTGTTGATGTTGATGGTTGCTGTTGTTGGTGGTGTTGATGTTGTTGGTGTTGATGTTGTTATTGTTGTTGGTGTTGATGTTGTTGATGTTGTTGTTGCTGTTGATGTTGATGGTTGCTGTTGTTGGTGGTGTTGATGTTGTTGGTGTTGATGTTGTTATTGTTGTTGGTGTTGATGTTGTTGGTGTTGATGTTGTTGTTGGTGGTGTTGATGTTGTGGTGTTGCTGTTGGTGGTGTTGATGTTCTTGTTGGTGGTGTTGATGTTGTTGGTGTTGATGTTGTTATTGTTGTTGGTGTTGATGTTGTTGATGTTGTTGTTGCTGTTGATGTTGATGGTTGTTGTTGTTGGTGGTGTTGATGTTGTTGGTGTTGATGTTGGTGTTGATGTTGGTGGTGTTGATGTTGTTGTTGCTGTTGATGTTGATGTTTGCTGTTAACCCCATATCACGTCTTCCAGACGCCTCAAAATGCTTCACAACAGACACTGAACAAGTGTAGTGACTATGTATTTTGTAGGGGAAAGGCGGCAGCCAAGTAAACAGAGGAGTGTGTGTGGGGTGAGGAACCCTGGCCAGGGTTTTGCTCGACTGGGAATGGAACTCAGATCCTCGGGCTTGCGAGGCGATTGCTCTAACCCCTGAGCTACAGGATTACTCCTGATTGTGTGGCGTGAAGCTCTCTCTCAACAACAACAACAACAACAACAAGATTCCACTTATAGAGCGCCTTTCACGTCGGGAAGTCGTCCCAGTCTCTCAGTCTATATTTATGTCCCACTTAACCAACCGCCTCCATATCATCTCAGCAAATGGCTTCTCCTCCCCCCGGTCACCTGTGGGGCAGATACCCCCCCAGGGCTCCAGCCTCGGCCTCTTCTTCTCCTGGTCTCTCCGCTCCCTCTGGTTGATGTCCTCCGACACGGGGGAAACTCCCGCACATTTGGGGATGAAGCACAAATCTCCTTTGCCCCCCACCCCCTCCCCCACCCCACCCCCTGCCCCCCCCCCCCCGGCCCCACGTCCCCCCGATGGCCTATCAGCTTCTCTGGCCAGACCTCAGGACCTGGATGATGACAAGATGGAAGCCATTCTCCTCGGCTCCCGTCAACCCCTTCACTCCTCAACCTCCCCCCGGCCTCTCCCTCAGACTCACTGACCCAGAGCCCCCCCTGGGCTCAACCCCCCGGTTCCACTGACACACAGCGACTGAGCCACACACACACACACACACACACAGCGACTGAGCCATACACACATACACACACACACACACAGCGACTGAGCCATACACACACACACACAGCGACTGAGCCATACACACACATACACACACACACACACACACAGCGACTGAGCCACACACACACACACACACACACAGCGACTGAGCCACACACACACACACCACACACACACAGCGACTGAGCCACACACACACATACACACACACACACACACACCGCGACTGAGCCAGGCTCACACACAGACAAGGCACACTTGGCTGCCGTATTTCGCCCACAAAACACACAGTCACTACACTGTACAGTGTGTCCTGTGAAGCGCTTTGAGACGTCTCGACGCTGTGATCAGGCGCCGGGTCAAACCCCGGGGTTACTATTATTGTAATAGTCAGTTACCTGCGGCATTTCTTCTTTTCTTTTTAGAGATTTTGAAACCTATAATAATAATCACAGCCAATACGGTGATTGGGACTGAGACGCCCACAGCAATAAGTGCACTGTGTGCCCGAAGGGTTCGTGCTGTAAAAATATAAAATATTATTAACTCAAATTTCTCAGTCTCTCTCTGTCTCTCTCTCAGTTTCTCTCTCACACTCTCACTCTCTCTCACACTCCCTCTCACACTCTCTCACACACTCTCTCTCTCTCACTCTCTCACACTCTCCTCTCTCTCTCTCTCTCTCTCACACACGCACACTTTCTCTCACACTCTCTCTCACACTCTCTCTATCTCTCTGACACACTCACCATCAGGAGACGTGACACAGTAATCTCGGGGTTGGAAGGAAATCTCTGTAGAATCGTCACTCACTGGGTTTGAAGCTTTACACTTGAACACAGTGTAACTGTGGTTTGAGGAGAGAGTTACAGAGAGTGACGCGCGGTCACTGGGTTGGGAAATGGACAAATTAACCGTATCTCTCTCCCACACAAAGCGAACTGGTTTACCAGACTTCACATCACACGTCAGAGTCCCATTGCACTGTCCTTTAGTGAGAGAGGACGTGATTTCAACTCCAGACACTCGTTCTGTTAGAGAGAGAGAGAGAGTGTTAGAGAGAGAGAGAGTGTTAGAGAGAGAGAGACAGGGAGAGACAGAGATGGAGAGAGAGAGAGAGAGAGTGTATGTTAGTGAGAAACAGAAAGGGAGAGATGGACTGAGAGAGAGAGATGATTAAAGAGGAAGAAAAAGAGGGAAATAGTTATCTATTTCTCTCTTTAAAAGCTGTTCTGGAATCGGTTCCCATCGGCCTTTCAGGCAATGATTCCTGATCCCAACAACTCGCTGTGAAAGCATTTCTCGTCCCCTCCCCTCTGTTTCTTTTAATATCTATTTTACTCGGTGCCCTCGGGTTCCCGACCCCCCGCCAGTGGGAATAGTTTCTCCTGTTCACCGTATCGAATCCCCTCATCATCTTCGAAACTTCCTCTGAACCTTCTCTGCCCCAAAGAGAATAATCCTCACTTCTCTGCCTCTCCCGATCACTGAAGGCCCTCATTCCTGGTGCCATTCTGGTCAATCTCCTCTGCGCCCTCTCCAATGCCTTGACATCCTTCCTAAAGTGCGGGGCCCAGAACTGAGCGCAGTCTCTCGCTGAGGCCCCACCAGCGCTTATAGAAAGGTTCATCAGAACCTCCTGACTGTATTTTATGGCTCTATTTACAAAGCTGTTTAATGTCTCCTCACCTCCCCTCGGTTTCATTTAACAACTATTTCAAATCAGTTTCTCGCATAAGAAATGCTTTCACAGCGAGTTGTTAGGATCAGGAATCATTGCCTGAAAGGCCGATGGGAACCGATTCCAGAACAGCTTTTAACAGAGAAGGAGATAAGTTGATCAGTGCTATGGGGGGAGAGTGGGGGAGTGGGGTTGATCAGGGCTATGGGGAGAGCGCAGGAGAATGGGGTTGATCAGGCGTATGGGTAGAGAGCGGGGGAGTCGGGTTGATCAGGGCTATGGGGAGAGTGCGGGGGAGTGGGGTTGATCAGGGCTATGGGGAGAGCGCGGGAGAATGGGGTTGATCAGGCGTATGGGGAGAGAGCGGGGGAGTGGGGTTGATCAGCGCTATGGGGGGAGAGTGGGGCATTAGGGTTCATCAGGGCTATGGGGAGAGAGGGGGGTTGTGGGGTTCATCAGGGCTATGGGTAAAAGGGGGCGGAGTGGGGTTCATCAGGGCAATCAGGAGAGAGCAGGGGAGTGGGGTTGATCAGGGCTATGGGGAGATAGCGTGGGAGTAAGGTTGATCAGGGCTATTGGAGGGATTGGGGAAATGGGGTTGGTCAGTGCTATGGGGCGAGAGGGGGGAGATGGGGTTGATCAGGGCTATGGGGAGGGATCGGGGGAGTGGGGTTGATCAGGGCTATGGGGAGAGAGGTCTAACCCCTGAGCCACAGTTCTGCGGTTTGCGAGGCGAGGGGTCTAACCCCTGAGCTGCTGGATTCCATATTAAGGGAAATTGGGCAAAGAAGGCTAATTGGAGTTGAGGTACAGATCAGCCAATGATCCAATAGACTGGCGGAACAGGCTGGAGAGGCTGAATGGCCTCTTCCTGTTCCTACGTGCGTGTGTGTGTTAGTGAGCAAACGTAACTCACCATAGACTGTGAGATTGTAGAGGATTTCATATGATTTCCCGTCTTGAAGGTCTGTGACTATCCTATAATCTCCGGTGTCTGTGCGCCTCAGGTCACTGATCTGTAGAGTGAGATTCTCTCTGTGAACAGTTACGCGTTTCCTCATCTCTTCAGTGCCGTAGTACTCAGTCTTCCCTTTGTGATATTCCGCTAATTTCTGGGCTGTGGACTTGTGGGTCCACTTAACACTGTCGATCTCTGGGGAGAGACCCCGAGGAGAGGGCAGTTGGACAGTGGCGCCCAATGTCCCAACAACAACAACAGCATTACCTGGAGACACAGAGAGAGAGAATGTGTGAGACACTGAGAGAGAGACAGAGAGAGAGAGAGAATGTGGGAGACAGAGAAACACACTCACACAGATATAGAGAGAGACGGACAGAGTGAGACACATACATTGATAGAAAGAGACTGAGAGATTGAGAGACTAAGAGAGAAACAGACACACACAGATAGAGAGAGAGAGAGACAGACACACACAGATAGAGAGAGAGAGAGAGACACACACAGATAGAGAGAGAGACACAGACGTGTGTGTGCGTCTCTCTCCGTCTCAGACACAATACAGAATAATAATAATAATAATAATCCTTGCATTTGCTATAGCGCTTTTCACGTCGGGAGGACGTCCCAAAGCGCTTCACAGAACACACTGTAAAGTGAATTGACTGTATATTTGTGGGTGAACGCGGCAGCCAATTGCGCACAGCAATGTCCCACAAACAGTCGTAGATTGAAAATGACCAATTTATTATTGTTTGGGTTTTGGAGGAGTATTATTAGGCTCTGTGTGGAGTAAGGAAACTCGCCCGAGGTTTGGCCCTGACTGACCCCCCGGGGATTGAACTCAGGTCTCTCACTTGCTAAGCGAGTGCTCTAACCACTGAGCTACAGGACTCACATGTCATTACATGCATGTCATGTCAGGAGGACTCACTCCCCTGGTACTGAACAGTCGGGGTTCAGGACCTGAGCTGGGGAGTGGGCGATGAGGGACGGGGCGAGGGAGGGGGTGAGGGAGGGGGCGAGGGAGGGAAGGGGTGGGGAGTGGTCGAGGGAAGGACGAGGTGGGGGAGGTGGCGAGAGAGAGAGGGGGTAGGGAGGGGGCGAGGGAGGAGGGCTGAGGGAGGGGTGAGGGAAGGGGTGAGGGAGGGAGGGGCTGAGGGAGGGAGGCGTGAGGGAGGGGGCGAGCGAGGGAGGGTCCGAGGGAGGGGGTGAGGGAGGGAGGGGGCGAGGTGGAGGGACTGTGGGATGGAGTGTCAGAGGGTGGGGGCAGAGTGGCCAATAGTGGGGCGAGCGAAGGGGGGACATGAAGCAGCCGGAGCCCAGTGAGCGGAGGGGCGAGCAGGATGGTGTGGGGGTCGGGGGGGCAGAACTCGAGGGGAGCCTTTGAAGGTGAGGATCAGGATCTTGACCTGTAGCCATTGTGTGATGGGGAGTCAGAGGAGTCGGGCGAGGATGGGGGTGATGGGGTCGGGGAGCCTGGTGGGGGTGATGGGGTTGGGGAGCCTGGTGGGGGTGATGGGGTTGGGGAGCCTGGTGGGGGTGATGGGGTTGGGGAGCCTGGTGGGGGTGATGGGGTTGGGGAGCCTGGTGGGGGTGATGGGGTTGGGGAGCCTGGTGGGGGTGATGGGGTTGGGGAGCCTGGTGGGGGTGATGGGGTTGGGGAGCCTGGTGGGGGTGATGGGGTCGGGGAGCCTGGTGGGGGTGATGGGGTCACGGAGCCTGGTGGGGGTGAGGATGGGGGTGATGGGGTCGGGGAGCCTGGTGGGGGTGAGGACACGGTTTAGAGAGAGATACAGACAGACAGATAGACAGACACACGCATGCACACAGTCTCTCTCTCTCTCAGTCTCTGTCTCTCTCCAGTCTCTCTCTCTCTCTCTCTCAGTCTCTCTCTCTCTCTCAGTCTCTCTCACTCTCAGTCTCTCTCTCTCTCTCTCAGTCTCTTTGTCTCTCTCTCTCTCTCAGTCTCTCTCTCAGTCTCTCTCAATCTCTCTCTCTAAGTCTCTCTAAGTCTCTCTCTCTCTCTTCTCTTATACAGCGCCTTTCACCCCTAGAGAAGTGTTTCAAAGCGCTTCCCAGACCTCGCTGTAAACTGTAGTGACTGTGTGTTTAACGCACGACTGAGAGAGAGAGAGAGACTAAGAGAGAGACGGAGAGAGGAAGAGAGAGAGACGGAGAGAGAGAATGTGGGAGATCTTTAATGTCCGCCCTGAACAGGAGATGGACAGGAAGTGATATTTCTCATCTCTGAGAAAATGGCGCTTTCTCTCTCTCTCTCTCTCCCCCCATCATGTCGGTGCTGGTGCTCGCTCCCCCCACACTGTCGCTCTCTCTTCTAACCCCATTCCCCCCTTCTCTTTCTGTCCCACACACTCTCTCTATCTCACACACTCTCTCTCACACGCTCGCTCTCACTCTCTCTCTCCTACCTCCATTTGCCAAACACACCACAGTTTGTACGGAAATAAAAACAACGAAAGAGAGAAGTGTTTGAGCATTAATCGCCATTCTTCTGCTTTTCAGTCCAGAGAAGAAGAGGATGTGGTGAGACGTGGAAACAGGCGGAGGCTGATACACACGGAAACCCGTCACCGGTCTGACACACGGAAACCCGTCACCGTGACCGGCCGGGTGTCTGACACACACCGACACCCGTCACCGTGACCAGCCGGTGTCTGACACACACCGACACCCGTCACCGTGACCGGCCGGGTGTCACGAGTGGGAATGGGGTGTAAACCCCCTGAACAGCAGTTACAGTATTGGGCAGAGTATTGATCAGGGAGTGAGCGGAGCCTGGAACAAGGGAATCAATAATCAATAGTTGGGGGTGATTTTAATCTTCATATAGTCCAGGAAAACCGCATCAGCCAAAGTCAATCAGAGGCTGAGTTCATGGAGTGCGTTAGAGAGAGTTTCCTGGAACAGTTTGTACTGAGTAATGAAACCGGGAATAATCAGCAAACGGGAGGTTAAGCTCCTCTCGGGCAGAGAGACCGGAATATTGAGTTAGAGAGTGATGACGATAAGTCTGAAATAAGGTCTTAAACTCAAGCCAACACGTGGCTCAGATAGACTGGGAAGGTAGATTAAAGGATGTGAGGGGAGACCAGCAATGGCAACATTCACAGATATACTATATAATTCCCAGTGATCACATATTTCCTTGAGAAATACAAATTCCACGGGGAAAGTGGTTGAACCCTTTGGCTAACGAGACAAGTTCAGGAAAATATAGCATTAAAAGAAGAGGTTTATGATATTGCCCAAAACCGCAGTGAACCTGAGGATTGGGAGCGCTTCAGAGATCAGGAAAGGAAAGCCGGGAAACTGAGTCAGAGATATGGGATATGAGAGGAAAGAAGATTACATTTGTAATCATAGGGCCGACAGCCTCTTTGGGCCTAGTGTCTCATGGGGCCTAGAGGCTCTTATGGCCTAATGGCTCGTAGGGCCCAGTGGCTCTCAGATCCAAGTGGATCGTAGGGCCTATTGGCTCATAGGGCCTAGAGGCTCTTATGGCCCACTGGCTCGTAAGGCCTAGTGGCTGGTAGAGCCAAGAGTCTCGTAGGGCCAAGTGTCTCATAGGACCAAGTGGCTCGTAGGTCCTAGTGGCTCTAATGGTCTAGTGGCTCATAGAGCCAAGTGGTTCCTAGGGCCAAGTGGCTCATAAGGCCAAGTGGCTCGCAAGGCCAAGTGGCTCATAGGGCCTAGTAGATCCAAGTAGCTCGAAGGGCCTATCGTAGGCCTATCGTAGGCCCTTCTGGCTCATAGGGCCAAGTGGCTGGTAGAGCCATGTGGCTGGTAGATCCAAGTGGATTGTAGGGCAAAGTGGCTCCTAGGGCCTAGAGGCTCGTGGGCCTATTGGCTCGTAGGGCTTAGTGGCTCATAGGGCCTGGTGTCTTAAAGGGCCTAGAGGCTCATGGTGCCTCATGGCTCATAGGCCCTAGTGGCTCATAAGCCCAAGTGGCTCATAGGGCCAAGTGGCTCATAGATCCAAGTGGCTTATAGGGCCTAGTGGCTCATAGGGCCAAGTGGCTCATAGGGCCAGTGACACTTAATGCCAAGTGGCTCATAGGGCCTGGTGTCTTAAAGGGCCTAGAGGCTCATGGTGCCTCATGGCTTATAGGCCCTAGTGGCTCATAGGCCCAAGTGGCTTATAGGGCCTCGTGGCTCATAGGCCCAAGTGGCACTTAGTGCCAAGTGGCTCATAGGGCCATGTAAGCTTATTGGGCCTATTGGCCTAGTGGCACTGAGAGCCAAATGGCTTTGTGGGTCCAGTGGATCATAGGGCCAAAGGGCTCATAGGGCCAAGTGGCTCATAGGCCAAGTGGTTCATAGGGCGATGTGACTCAGAGAGCCAAGTGGCTAATAGGGCCAAGTGGCACATAGGGCCCACTGGCAAATAGGGCCAAGTGGCTCATAGGGCCTAGTGGCTCATAGGCCAAGTGGCTTATAAGCCAAGAGGTTCATAGGGCTACGTGGCACTAAGTCCAAGTGGCTCATAGGGCCTAATGGCTCAGGGAGCTCTGTGGCTCAGAGGCTCAAGTGGCTCAGAGTCCCAAGTGACTCAGAGGCCCAAGTGGCTCAGAGGCCAGGTGGCCCAGAGGCCCAAGTGGCTCAGAGGGCTAGATGGCTCAGAGTGCCAAGCGACCTTGAGAACCAAATAGCTCAGTGAGTAAAGTGTCTCAGAGGGACAAGTGGTTTAGATGGCCAAGTGGCTAAGAATGGCCAGTGGCTCAGAGACCCAAGAGGCTCTCAGGGCCAAGTGGCTCAGAGGGACAAGTGGGTCAGAGTGCCAAATAGCTCAGAGACCCAAGTGCCTTTGAGCACCAAGTGGCTCAGGCGGCCAAGTGCCTCAGAGGGCCAAATAGCTCTGAGGTCCAAGTGGTTCAGAAGGACAAGTGGCTAACAGGACAATTTGTTCAGAGGCCACGTGGCTCTGAGGACCAAATGGCACAGAAGCCCAAGTGGCTCAGTGGGCTAAGTGGCTCAGAGGGCCAAGTGGATCAGAGGGCTATGTGGCTCAGAGACCCAAGTGGCTCATAGGCCCAAGTGACTTAGAGACCCTAGTGGCTCAAAGGCCCAAGTAGCTCAGAAGGCCAAGTAGCTCACAGGCCCAAGTGGCTCAGAGGGCAAACTGGCTCAGAGGGCCAAGTGGCTCAGAGGCCAAAGTGGCTCATAGGGCTAAGTGGCTGAGAGGTCTATGTGGCTCAGAGGCGCAAGTGGATGATAGGCCTGAGTAGCTCAGAGTCCCAAGAGGCTCAGAAGGCCAAGTGCCTCACAGGTCCAAGTGACTCAGAGGGCAAAGTGGCTCAGAGAGCTAAGTGACTCAGTGGGCCAAGTGAATCATAGGGCCATGTGGCTAAAATAGTCAAGGACGTCTGTGGAGTCCTGTAGCTCAGTGGTTAGAGCACTCGCTTTGCAAGTGAGAGACCTGAGTTCAATTCCAGGCAGAGGGCCAAACCTCGGGCGAGTTTCCTTACTCCACACAGAGCCTAATAATACTCCTCCAAAACAAAACAATAATAAATTGGTCATTTTCAATCTACGACTGTTTGTGGGACATTGCTGTGCGCAATTGGCTGCCGCGTTCGCCCACAAATATACAGTCAACTCACTTTACAGTGTGTTCTGTGAAGCGCTTTGGGACGTCCTCCTGACGTGAAAAGCGCTATATCAAATGCAAGGATTATTATTATTATTATTATTATAGTGGCCTAAGTGATGCAGAGGGCCAAGTGCCTCAGAAGGCTAGGTGGCTCAGAGGCCCAAGTAGCTCAGAGGGCAAAGTGTCTCACGTCGGGAGGACGTCCCAAGGCGCTGAAATATAAAGACAGATTGTAAGAGTTTTTACAAGTACATAAAGAGGAAGAGATTAACAAAAGTGAATGTGGGTCCATTGCAGGTGGAGAGAGACTCGAGGAAACGTAGCGCGGAATAAGGAAATGGCAGAGTCATTAAACAATTATTTTGCTTCTGTCTTCACGTGAAACACTGAAATGGAGGGGAACCTGGAGGCTAATGTTAGTGAGGAACTTACAGACATTAATATGTGGCTCAAGGCCGAAGTGGCTCAAAGGCCCAAGTGACTAAGAGGCCCAAGTGGCTCAAAGGGCCAAGTAGCTCAGAAGACCAAGCAATAGCACGAGAGAAACCGGTCAATCCCCCGACCTGATGGCCTCTCCAGGGTTTATAAAGAGATAGCGGACGCTTTGGTTTTGATCTTCCGCAATTCCCTGAATTCTGGAACGGTTCCCAGTGATTGGAAGGTCACAAACATAACACCGCTATTGAAGAAGGTGGGAGAGAAAACATGGGGAACTATAGACCAGTCAGTCTGACATCGTTGGGAGGGAAAATTCTGGAGTCTATCATTAGGGACATTGTTGTGGGTCACTTAGAAAGTCCTGATGTGATCAGGAGGATCAACACGGGTTTACAACAGGGAAATGGTGTTTAACAAATCTGCTCGAGTTTTTGAGGCTGTAACTGACGTGAGATACGGGGGAACCAGCAGATGTGGTGTATTTGGATTTCCAGAAAGCATTTGACAAGGTCACACATAAAGGCTGTTGCATAAGGTTAGAACCCATGGAATTAAAGGCAATATATTAGATTGGATTGGAGAGTGGCTACTGCAGAGAACAGAGAGTAGCGTAAACAGGTCCTTCTCAGATTGGTAGAATGTGACTAGTGGAGGCCACAAGGATCAGTGTTTGGGCTTCAACTGTTTACAGTCGACATCAATGACTTAGATGAGGAAATAGAGCTCAATGTTTCTCAATTCACGGACGATACAAAGCTCGGTGGGAAGGTCAGCTGTGAGGAGGACACAAGGAGAACATATTCAAGACTGAGATAGATAGATTTCTTATTGCTAAAGGGATTAAGGGATATGAGGATAAGGCAGCGTCAGGTTATTAGCTGGAGTTAGATTAGATCAGTCATGATTGAATGGCGTAGCAGGCTCGAAGGGCCGAATGGCCTCCTCCTGCTCTTACATGTTATATTATGTTAGAATGCAAAGGGATATAGACAGGCTGGGAGAATGGGCAACAAGGTGGCAGATGGAGTTTAACGTGTGAAAGTGTGGAGTTATTCACCTCGGTACAAAAAACAGAAAAGCGGATTATTTTCCAGAGGGAGAGAGACGAGATGGTGTTAGTGTTCACCAGTCACAAAAAGTTAGTCTGTAGGTACAGCAAGCAACTAGGAAGCAAATAGCTTTTCCTCCGGCCCCGCACTGTCTCGTGCGGTGTCCCTCAGGGCTCTGTCCTCGATCCCCTCCTCTTCACCCTCTATACGCTCCCCCTGTGGTGACATCATCCACAGACATGGGGTTAACTCCCATATGTATGCGGATGACACCCAACTCTACCTTTCCTCCTCTACTCTCAACTCCACGACCCCCGATGTCCTGACAGCTGTCTGTCCGACATCGAGTCCTGGATGAGAGACAACTTTCTTCAACTCAACTTTCGCGACCACATCACTCCCACCCTCACCCTCGCCCTCACCCTCATCCTCGCCCTCGCTCGCCTCCACTGGCTCCC